AAAAAATCAAAGAAAAATAAACTGTACATTTTTAAAAATAAACTTTTTAAGAAAAAATCCCGTTGAAAAGGTGTTAAGCTCACTTTGTTAAATAAATTCGTATTCATTCGATTTATTGAAACGCGAAATTTATTTTAAGTTCGTAAAATAGCTAAGTGCCTACATTTCATGACGATGTGAAAATTGAGTGTGTAGAGTAAGATCTCGCTTTCCTATAGCCCATTATGTCTCAAAAAGACGCGATTTCGTCACAAAACATAAAATAAAAAAAATTATAATTCGAATTTTAAAAAAATCGCATCGAGGTGCACTGGCTCTTGTCTAAATGCACTTATGTACCAAATTTCGTAGCCGTGGGTCTATTAGCTCACGCGCAGCGCGAACGAAAGACACACACACTGACACACAGACAGACTCTTTATTATATGTAGAGATTATTATGCATTTTTCACTGACCGATTCTCTTTTTAATTTTAATTTTGATTGCTTTGGAGAGGGTGAGGGCTGTTGAGCATCTAAATCAGTTTCATTTTGTTGTGTCTTTTTGTCTTTTTTGAAAACACTGAAAACGTTGCGGAATAATTTACATTACTGAAAAATTTCAGTAATGGAAATTATTTCTCACCTGCACTTTATGTATTCCACAAGTATGTTATTGTGATACTATCCAACTTCTGCAATTCTGCATTACGAATTCCATTCATGATATGTAATATTTATTAATTTATAACAAATTTAAGTAAATTTTACTTATTTTATATGCATTTGATCACTCGACTCTCGTTTTAGTGCGATTTTTTAAACTCCAGCTATCTTCCTAAATTCGTAATAAGGTCTGAAGTATGAGATGCCATTCGTGTGATTACATGACTCCTTATTGTAGTTAATTCTAAACTTGTGTGCTCTGTAAACTGTTCGCGAATAAAGCATATAATTTTGCGGGTTTTATTGTATAAAATGAAAATGGGTGTTTTTCTTTTCTTTTCTTTCATTTGTAAGAAATTAAACACCAGAATTTTAGAATAATGTAAGAACACTGACTGATAAATCTTCAAATGAAAGAAAGGAAGTGCAAAAGAGCCATGTATTACTATTTGAAACAATTGTGTTATGAAAAGCATAACACAAAATATTAAAACCCTGCCTCCAAATTTCAATTTTTATGCGAAAAAAATGTTCTATCATTAAAATACAGATTTCTTTAATAACTACAAAGGGACTATTTTTATAGAACTTTTATGATAGTAAACACGAAATTTATTTTAAGTTCGTAAAATAGCTAAGTGCCTACGTTTCATGACGATGTGAAAATGGAGTGTGTAGCGTAAAATCTCGCTTTCCTATAGCCCATTATGTCTCAAAATGACGCGATTTCATCACAAAACATAAAATTAAAAAAAAAAAAAAATTCGAATTCGAATTTCGAAAAAAATCGCTTCGAGGTGCACTGGCTCTTGTCTAGATGCACCTATGTACCAAATTTCGTAGCTGTGGGTCTATTAGCTTACGCGCAAAAGCGCGAACGAAAGACACACACACACACACACACACACACAGACTCTTTCTTTTATTATATGTAGAGATTTTGCAAATTGCTCATGGATTACTTTTGATTTAACTAATGGTTTTTCTAGTTTCCTACTAAAGAATTTTTCTTTTTAAACTTTTGGGGTAAGATCGAAGCAAGTTATATCTTGATGATTATTAAATTTTAAAAAAAAGTTACTTTTTATTGCCTTTTTGAAGTTATTTTTACTAATCTTGATTTGCATTTTCTATAACTTTCTTCATCTGGATATTATTCAGAAACACAGCTCTGATGAAAGTTCGGCTGCTGCTTGAAAAAGACCACCAAATTTTCCGACTTTTTACTTTTTTTTATATTCTTTACCTTTTATAATTAAAACAAATTTTTTGAAAAGTTTTTGTATTTTGAAATGTTTATACTTTTGTGTTCATTTTAATTTGTGCATTTCCTTTTTAGGGAATAGATTACCTTTCATTACTTAATTTTAATTTCACTTTTATCTCTTGACTGGTTCATTAATTTCGCGAAATACAACGCGAATTCAACATTTTATATCATTTAAATTTTAAATTTTTGAATTCTTTATATATACATATGTAAGATATAAAATATGTATAACAATGTATTACCTTTAATTTTATAATAGCCCTTTTATTCTTTATTTTAATTAGTATATTTCCCCTTTCTATGCTTTACATAACGATAATGACATAATTTGGAAACTTAAAATTACCAAAACCGAAACCTTTCTCTTAAACTAAACTCCTATATTGGATAATTACGAACTTTTCCATTTTGCCTTCTCAAATAATTTCGACCTAATTAATTTGCGGCTAGGTGCTTTTCTTTGTACCAAAAGGTAAAGCACCAAGCAGCAGCTGAAGCAAGTTTTTTGATTATCTTGTTCCATAATATAATCAAAAATGTAAACGTTAGATTCTAGAACGTTGGTGATTAATGTGCCAAGATATTTGTGGCCGCAAAATGTTTACTTATAATAAAGGAAATATTAGCTAAATAAGCTACAACTGCGTCTTGTTGCATCTATACGACTAAGTTTATTCTTCATTACGGATTTATTATGTATGTTTCAATATCTATCTGCGTCATCCTATTTTATTAAAAATATGTGAATTCAAAATGCTAACGTTAATTATTTGCAATTAGCCCCTTAATTACCTATTATAATTTCGATATTCCCCTTTTCCATACTTAAAATAGTAAACACTTATTATAAAGCTTTTCTAGACTGCGTCATACGATTAACATATGTCATACGATTCTGATAAAAAAACTAGTGACAGAGATATCTTTTCAAATTCAAAACAACTAATCAGAACATAGATCAGTCTTTACTAAATTTCCATCTCAGACACCTTACATTTGCTTTTCCGTTTCGCTACTGCTATCTGTTGCAATTTTATTATTATTATTATTATTTAGAAATTTCTAGAACAGACACGCTTGTAGTGCCAATTTATTTGCGTTGGTTTCAAAATGTGTGTATTTCAAAATGTCAGTCATGACTGCAAGTACTTCTTTATGCTTTAACAGCATGACTTCGACAATTCTAAATTAATAGATATACTATATTCAAAATTGTATGCTGTGTCATAAAACAAAAGATCAACTATGCAAGAACTACACTGAAATCTGCATTGATGATGCTCCAACCAAGCTTGGCTCCAAAAGAGATTAAGTTCTCACGATTAACAACAAATTATTCTTACTATCCCAAACACTGTTTCTTTACTGAGTGAAGCTGATTTCAGCCCGTATGTTTCGACTTTTCTTGCGGATGGTTTATTACTTCTGCTAAGCATTTTCACTTCTACATGGTGATTAAAAGTTATCTGTTACCTGGCTTATCAGACAGAATTTTGCTTCCGCTTATTAAGAGTAATTTCGTATCAGTTTAGGGTTTTCTGATTATATGCTTTCTAAATGTACCGCTTTCGAAAGAAAATTCTATGGCGAAATCAACTACAAATACACACTCTTGGTATAAACATTCAAAATGCGTATATGTTTTACAATGTAGTGATTGGAAAAACGATGAATGCTTAAAAATTTACAGAAAAATTGTTCTGAGTTTTTGTTGTCGGCATGGATGAACCTACAATATCCCCAAATACTAGCAGAATTCGGGGTGTACACTATTTAGAAAGATTACCTCTTACAGAAAAAAAAGAAGAAAAAATCGTCCCGTAAAATCATAAGCGGATCAAAGTGATTATTATTGTACTATGCCAAGAAAACAACCACAACTCAGCGTGAAAAACTGTTTTAATGTGTTTGATATTCATACTTTATCTAGATGATTTTATCTTATATCTTTTAGCATTGCAAATATGCAATTAAGTTATTGTAGTTATTCAACTGCTGAAATATTAGTTACTAATATTCACTTTTTTGCGTTAAAAAAAGCGGAGTGGATATTTTGTTTATATGAAAACCTTCGCCTCAGATCTCTTAAACAAGCAAATTTACAATTTTTTGGGGGAGGGAGTGTTGTCAGTAAACTTGAAAACAGCTTAAATTAATTTCGCTTAAATCACACCTACCAGAAAAAAATATTCTTCTTACCAACTTTTAAGTTTATAAAACGAAATACCACTAATAATGATATAAGTATTCTTACGTAGGAATTTCCCGAAACATAAATATCCCAAAACCTTGAGAATCGCTGCCTAAGCAATGCTAGTAAATTTTTAATAGTTGAAAGCGTTTAGATTTATAGTTATTTGACATCTTATCTTTAAAACTTCTAAAGTGTCATATCCTATTTGTTACTCACAATCAAGTGTTACAATCAAGTGTTACAATCAATCACAATTGTTACAATCAAGATACTGAACATTCAAAATTATGTATAAGGCAAATAATTTCTTTTATCCGCATGTTCGACAGTGGTTGCTGTGAGAACGTGTCACAATACATAGCGTTTTCTCAATATATAGCGGGTGTTAACTAAAATAAACTACGTGATTCAGGAATAAAGAGGTCTAGCACGGAAAGAAGAAAAATTATTGCCAAACCAACAAAACGCTTTTAATTATACACATAAGAACAAAATTAATACAAAAAAAAAATCAAATCTAACAAATGACGACATAGGAAAGAAAAAAAATGACACTTTTTTAATTCCGTACCCTGTACAATCAATGAAACGCCAATGACCTCATAATTCTGACAGAATTTTTATACTTCTCACGTTATAATGAGGCAGCAATGTATATATTTCCCTGTCAGAAACACCGGCAAGAGTGGCTAAATTATTCCTACATCACTCGGGGATCGATATAAATCGAAAGTGCCACCTAGAAGCAAATTAAGGCTTTGAATAAGCTATCTTTCAACAAAGTCACAAATTTCTGAAGGCGACTCCACGCGACAAAAACTCGAAAGCCACTTTGTCACCTTCAGGCATTCTGAGAGTCTACTACTATTCAATGATAGAGTTCCTCCTCACCTGGAGCCCTTGCTTCGTCAGCACTTTGCCTTCCTCCAGAGGGCCAAAGGCTAATTTATCGTCAGTCTCATCCTTCTCACGAGGAAGATCGTCGGCATCAACGGTACTTTCATCGGACGGAGTAACAGTTGCAGGGGCGGAAGTGATGACTTCACGAGACGCGACAGGTTCCTTGCATGAACTATTTCTCTTGATGGTCGATTCGCGGGAAGACGAATTGGAAGAAGACGCCGAAGGGGTGCTAGGATTGTGGGCAGTTGGCAAAACAGGAGATAACTGTAAAAAGGAAAATTATGAACAACATATTATACAAGTACTTGTTAGTCATACTTCACATTGAATGTTACCATTCCCGTCTGCGAAAAACAAAAATGAGTTTGTTTTGCTGTTAGCGGTTTGTCAACATTATGATTTAATTTAAATATATGATCGGCAATTAAATGGCATATACAATGAACTTCCGATTTACCGAGGTTATGCAGTACCTGATATAACCTCGGTATCAGGTATTGCATCAGATGCAATACCGATATAGCCTCGATGAATCAGATGATTCATTGTGGCCAATGGTGCAGGAACGTTTCTCCAAATGACACAACAAAATTTATTAACAACAAATATATAACAATAATTAAATATATTATCAGGCTATCTCCGCCTCCTACATCTTACACGTTTAGCACCTTGCCTGCCTGCCACTGCTATCGGAGTACAGACAGCGCCCTCTAGCCGAATGGCGCGGGTGTTATCTAACACTCCCCACCTGAAATCACATGAGTTCACTTATTGATTTCTGACAAGTTTACATTCAGGAACCATTTAAAATTACATCAAATACGAAGCATGACATTGTTCATAATAATTTTATATACAGACACATATTACATTTTTAGCATTCTAAATAAAATTATTCAGATATCAAGTTTTAAAAATATACCATTAGAGACATAACTATGATTGATACATAGAACGGAAATTAATAGTTTTACATTTCAAATTAAACTTATAGAAATTAAAGATTAATGTCAAAAACATAAACAGGTTGCTGGGAATGTTTCATAATTCTTTTACGACTCTTAATACGAAGAGAACGACTTTTCCCGTCTCATCTTGGGTACGCTTCTAAAATTTTTCGCACCGTCCACATAGTTCTAGGATAACGCTCATCTTTAATCAAAATAATATCATTCACTTTAAATGAAACTATTTTACCTCGTTATGGCTGTGTGATATAAGCTGATCTCAGATTATGTAAACACCCCTTCTCCACTTGTTCCAAATGTGATTCAATAGAATTTGCTTATATTTATATTTCTTACCAAAGAATTTCTATTAACATTCAAATTTTCAGTTTTATATTTTGTTACAAGCAAAGATATCAATAAGAAAATGATATGAGATGACTGGGGAGGGTTCTGAGAATTTGTTTTACAGATCTTTGATAGGCTTGGAATAAATCACAGCTTCAATCTCTAGGAAAGCAATTTCCAATTCTTTCAGAGACATATATGATCATCCAACAGTTTTTAAGTTTTAACCTTTCGTATCTTTTGTTTAACCTCTCCCAGAAGTCTCTGCATGAGAAACGTTTTTCAACTAAGAACTTCCAAACTATACCTTCTGAAGTAAACATATTATTAACTTGTAAGAATTATGTTAATTTATCTAACGGTTAAATTTTGAGCTAAAGTTCCTTTCCTGTCTTTATGAATTTCAACTTACAACTTCCGGTCAGAACGTAGTTTTAGAATTGCATTTGAATGCAAATGAGGAGAAGTACTTGACCGTGAAGTTCTACTGACTTCGTGAGAGAAAACCAGTGATTCTGACTAGCGCGCGTATTATCACACTTGGCCGTACTTTAGGCTCTTGATACCTTTGCCGTTATTTAGAATTAAGAGGTCAATTCTGTTAGAATCTTGATAGCTTCGGCTATATCTTTTTAGTTAAGATTAGTTTAGTCCTTAGGTTCCTAAGTTCAAGCCCGAGCGGCGGCTTTATTGTAAAACTCCAAGACGGAGTTCTGTTAAACTTTAGTGGAATAATAAAGGGTTATTTCACCCTTTTTTCGTGTTGTTCTATATCTCACGAACTCAAGCGATTATTCGCTGATCAGTTAGTTCTTAAGATTCTTCAACTTCAACTGTAACTTAAAAGTACACAGCACAGAATCTTACAAACTTGATTATTACTTATCCGATTCCACCATTTTTAAATTCACAATTGGCTTTTTTGAAAGCTTTGGTATTATCAATATAGTATATGATGGAACAAAATTCCTCGACAAGAAACAAACCGTCGGAATTCTGACAAAAAAGTATCAACACTTATGTTGAGAACGAATTCTAATTTTCACAAGGGCATCCCTTTCCTTAGGCAGATAGCCGAGTGCTTTGCAATAATCAAATAAATCCAACCAAACCGAAATATGGAGAACAATGTATGATTACTTTCAAAATTGATTTCAAAACCTATGCCAAAATAAGATAGCTTTTCCATTTAATTTCAAAATTCTTTCTTTAAATAGAATAAAAAATTTAAAAAAATCCTTCTAAATGGGTACCCTGGAAATAGCCCTTTTTTCAGATAAATATGGATAAATTTTGCTAAAACCTTATCGCATGTTTTCTGTCTATCTTTTCTGTCATGTTTTCTGTCTATTGTCAGCTAAACGTGCTATCGGAAACATATTTTGTTCGCTGAATGTTCGCGTCGGTTAAATGCTTTGTCGACTGTATATCCTTGTCGACTGTATATCCTTGTCGACTAAATGTTCTTTCGACTAAATGTACTGTTGCTTGAATGTCTTGCCTTGCCTAAATGTCCTGTCGGCTAAACGTTCGTGTCATTTAAATGTTTTCTCGGCTAAACGCCCCTTTCGGATAAGTGTTCTGTCTATTAAATGTCCTTGTCGACTAAGTCTCCTGTCAATTAAACGTCCCTGTCGGCTAACTGTCCGTGTCGGTTACATGTCCAGTCGGCTAAATGTCACAGTCCCCTTCTGATGAAATCCTTTTCTTTATACTTGAGAACGCCTTGACGTAATAACGTTTAGGCGGGATCGCTATGTTTTGTTTTCGCTGAATGACGCGCATGAGTGACAATGACGCGTAAAATTGTCTCATGCTTTGGGAGATTGCATCTGTAGATCTATTTTTGGAGAAAGCAATATATGTCAGCGAAATTATGTTAAGAAGATTTGGGCTAATCCAAGAATACAAATACCAACTGGTGTAATCACTTCCGAGAAGTGTGCGTGTCTTTTACGACAAATGAAGAATGCAAAAATAAGTAAATAAATAATACGAGACACTGGCTGCATCGTTGAAATGCGCGTAAGGGTACCCAAATAAACGTTTCTTTCCAAGGTCGCCAACGAGTTTTTTATTTTCAATGGAAATGCAGATGATTAGAAAGTACCCAAATGAATTATGTTCATGCACGTAACGACAATAAATAAACTTTTCACTTACTTGGAATGATGTAAGCGTAGAAGTTTTGGCGTCAGGAGATTTCGCGGTTTCGAGTTTCGCATCATCAGTTGATACTTCCAGAGGTAACATCGATGGAACTGATGGCGACTCGGATTCGGCCTTTTTTGGCTGTTAATAATAAATGGACATCATCAGTAAAATATCAAATCAAAAGACGGGTATTTTTCTGTTAATGGAGCGCCAGTCGCTAAATGCGCACCAAAAATCCAAATACGATAGTCTATTTTTATCGCGTCATGAACAGCTACGCAATGATACTGTATATAGCCTTTAATGTGAGCAATGCCCTAAACTGCGCGATGTCGAATTTTTGCAATTCTATAATTTCTCTGCGTTCCGTTCTCCTCGTGTATCCAGGGATGAACTTTTGCTAAATAAATCAGAGAATTGCACAAATTTGGCATCAAGCACAGCCTTGGCAATGCGCACATAAACATTATACATTGTATCCACAAAAATCTTTACTTGGCTTTTATTTTTGTACCCGTTGGTTGTAGATACAACGGGTAAACACTTTTGTAGCTTCCAGATACAAAAGGGTTTTAAATGAAGCAAATATTCATGTTTTGGTATTTCTAAATCTAAAGGAATTAGTTTTGTAAAAAAAAATACTAAATTAACATTCTGTATGGTCCCCTGATTCCTATATTTATATTTAGGAAAATTTTGCACTCATTTTAAAATAGAAAACACAAAATACGTTATTAATATTCTCACGCAGTTTTATTACTTAAAAATCATTATCTACTCATTAAAAAATTCATTTAACTAGAAATTAATTTTAACATTATATTTATGTTAAAATTGTAATATTACGATGATAATAATGTATGATAGTAATGTTACAACTTCGTTATGTGACAATATTGAAAGCCCACCATTGTTTGCTATAATTCTGTAAAGTTCTATGAATAAGATCTCCTTTTTTTTAAAAACAAAAGGTATATTGACTAAAACTTTTCACCATAACCTACATAAAAATGGCCCCACTTAATTCATTAATTTCAGATAACTTTTTTAAAACTGATATTTTATTTTTAGTTAACTGCAAATACAAATATTTTACGCTTCAATTTGTGTAGGGCCTATGTTTATGATTACCAGTTTTAAAACTAAACAGCTCAGTCATCTGAGTCGCACGGAGACACACTTTTTGTATTTTACTTCTTATAATGAGTACAAAATAAGTACAGAGAACGGCAGTTAAGAGGCATTAAAAAGTTTAATTCCGTAATTTTTAACAAATTTATTAAAAAAAAATTTAAATACTAAAATACAAATATTTGTATCATTTAAAACATTTTATAGTTGAAAGTATATGTGATGGTTAGGCTATTTGAATACAGTAAAGCATACAGCTTTTACTAAGAGGAGGGCTGCCAAACCGATACGGTGGTTAGTGAGATTGGCCACCGTGCCGATGGACCATCTAATCCGAAAGAATGGATGTTTGTAAGTGACAGTGTCTGTGTAGCAAAGTGATACCCAATAATGACGAGACAAAGTTCTCTTTAGTGGTTGGTGGTAGAGAAGGAGGGGGTGGGAGGATCTCGGAACGTTCCCAAGGATGTTCTCCATCAAAACTCGGGGAGAAGCTTTACAATTAGCAAGAACCAGCGATACTAATGTACCTTTGGGGATGCATAGGTGCCCGCCTTCCTTCAACCTATACTTAAGAGGAGGCATGTGTTTGTGAAAGATTTTCTCAGGGTTTGCATTCACGTTATACATGGGAAAAACGAGTAAAGCCAACAGCCATCCCGTTCCTTTTGGATCGAATTCAGGTCGTACTTCCAGTATTCGGCGATCTCTCAAACACTAGACCACTGATGGGTACCAAGTTAATATGAAAATACCAAAAAATGGAGCAAGTACGAACATTTTCTGTTATTCTAATTTGTTAAAAAATTAAGAGATTATTAAATGATTTTACTCAGTTTAAAAACTTTATGAAAAATAAAATTTCGGATGTTTTCCGTTGTAAGACAATACGAATCAAACAGTTTTTTACAGAAAGATATCTACAAAAGGATATTCTTAGCATTAAATTTAATGCACTATATTTTTCTTATCTCTTATATATCAGCGTTCTTCTTTTCAATGTGTGTAATGCCAAGAAAAAGTTTCTAAAGTATGCTACTCTATTTCGTTCTGCATTTAATCTAATAACAAATATAACAGACATGCTTCTTATTTGTGAAATGGAAGCAATTTATATGCCCTTGTGACAGCTTTGCTGTCGTAGAACTTGTTTCTCTTAAGCTTTCTTCCTCACGGTTCTTAGATCAGAATTCAGCAATAATACTTGCTACTTAAAACATATTTAATAATAACGACAACTTTTGAATACTCTTACCGATTTGATAGCACTATAATGGGTGTTACCGCATTGCAGAACAGATGGAAATGAGGGTGCAGATTTCTTGGCAAACAAAGGAATGACTGTCCTCTCCAAATTTATAAACTCATTGCTAAGACACTGATAAATATAGAATTTAGAAAGATTCAGAACTTATATTTTTGCATAAAAACTAGAAGAATGGTTTCCCGATTTCGCCTGGACGAAGGATATAATATCCATGATTCATTCTCGTGATGCAGTGATATTATTCGAATTTTTCAGTACGTTTTTTGTAATTTATATCAGTGGTGCGCAACCTTTTCTCACCTGCGACGCACAAAAGATCTTTCTGGAATTTCGTGGCACACCAAAGAGTTCCGAGTTATCAAGGATGTGCCGAAAAAATTCAAATGCTGACACACTTACAATCACACACACAACCACACAACAGTGAAATATATAAAAAACATTTAAAATAGACATTATTAAGGACAAAAAAATATCATTGTGTATTAAATACATGATAAAAAAATTGCAAAATGTCAAATACATGTATTTGATTGCGGCACACCTATATCCTACTCATGTCACACCAGTGTGCCGCGGCACACCGGTTGCGGAGCACTGATTTAAATAACACTGAAAATTCCCAAGATATTGCTTTGTAACTTTGTAATTGTATTATAACTTTGTAAATCTAAGATATTGCTTTGTAAGTAAGATACGAGTATAACGTTGTAACTTTGCTGCTAACTTTGTAAAAAAATCCTACGATATTGCTTTGTATTATAATGTAGCAAAGAGAATAATAAAACAGAGTGACACTTTTTCTCTAAATGAGACATGACAGCATGCAAAAACTTATGTATTCGCATAACTGTTTTTAATAAAAACAATAAACCCGTGATATTTGTCATTAATACCTCAGTACAAACTGACTGATTCTTCTCAACCGACTTATCACTCGCACTTTTTTTTAATTTGAAGTAGAAACATATGTCGGAAAATAAGATAAGAAATTTTAAAAAATAAAAGAAATTGTTTAAAAAAATTTCATTATTTACTCACCAATGGAATTAAGCTCTGAATTAGGAATTTTACAGGATTAGATGCATTTTTAATGACGTCAACTGCTTTGGCATGACTTGCTATCCTTATATCTACACCACTAACCTAAAATATAAGAAATATTGTTTAAAATATAACAAAAAAAAAATCTCTAAATATGAACATCCACATAATTCTTCAACCGACGCATATTTTTAATGCAAGTCCAGGATTATTGTATACATTTTGAAAATGCAAACGCTAAAATGTCTCTAAAATGTGCTACGTACGATGATCCAGAAGTCGTTAAACAATTAAAAATTTTGAATTTAAAAAAATTCACTATGTGCAATAACACAAATGGCACAGAAACATACAAAATTTCGCTTCTTTTTTAAGACTTTGTCGGCAGGTGGCACCGCATTGATTCATGAGTAAAACGGTGGGTAAATGCCAGAATTACTACATTACTGTTATGTCCAAAGCTCAGGACAAATGTCTGAGTTACCATGTTGGTGTCTTGGAACTGCGAATATCCACTACTTCATTTCCAAGTTCCAGAAATCGGTATTACCAAGTAGATGTCGTGTCGAACAGATGCTAATTCTATATGAAATACGGTGGTACATCATTTGTATATTGGATTTTCCAGTTCTTAATTTTTTAGCAAATAACTGTATTTGTTCTGATATTGGAAGATTTTCCAGATAAGGAATATTAAACCCTGAAATAATGTGCCAAAGGAAAAAGGAAATTTGTTTCACATGTTGAATGCGTTAAAGATTTATCTTTTGCTCTAATTGATTTGATAATTTTAAAGAAAAAGAAAACATTTTATATGTCCATGATGATGGGTTTAATGGCGTAGAGCCTTCGGATTTCTCCAAAATTCAATGAAACTGTGGAAAGGAATCAACGAATGACACAGAAGAATGTCGTTATCAAATTATACAGAATCAGATTACGATATAGGTCTCGGCAGCAGACGAAAAAAAAAAAAAAAAGAAAGAAAGAAAAAGAAAGAAAATATCCAGTTCACGGATGTCAAAGCGTTAATTTCGCAGGCTTGAATTTTATCATGCGCAAATTTTAATGTAAGTCAAACAACGGCACTTCATCCATATATATTCAGAAATAGAAGCAATAACTCCATGAAGACGTAATTTCTATAGTTATTCAAAAGAAGGAGTTATAAAGTATTTTCTCCCTCCTTTCCGCATGCCTTCGTGGTGTGACTAAAAGGTGTATTCGACGCGTATTCGAGAGGTCCAGGGTTTGAGTCCCAATGAGGGCACTGCGGATTTTTTCAGTTTAATGATAAAAAAAAAATGACACCACAGTTGCGCCCGAACTAATATGGTGGCGGATGATAATTTGTCACTACCACAATCTTGCAGCTGGGTCCCTTAATCTTCAGTCGCCTTCTAAAAGGGGAAGTATATAAGGTATTTTTTCACTCCTTTCCGCTTGTCTTCGGAGTGTATTTGGGACTATACTCGACAAAGGCAGCATCATTTAACCTGCTTCCTCTTGTTCACGAAAAATCCCGTTTCCATGGAAGAGTTTTCATGATTTGAGGTGAAATTATAAGAAATGGATAGATCGTGTAGCAGATCATTGACTAAAGTTCTGAAACCGCTCACAGATATGTGAACGAGGTCTTGAAACTCATATAAACCTGAAAAGGGTTGCTGTTGGTTCAGAAGTTTTGCCTAACGAATGACAACATTCCTTTACATCGAGAAGCTCTAGGATCAGAACACTTAAAAACAGAAGATATCGCTCGAATGGATTGGTTAGCTGCTCTTTCAGAAGAATGGTGGAAATTTCCAGAAGACTTGATCAACAGTGTGGTAGATTCTGTGAATTAAACAAGCGATGTTTGTATTTCAAACAGAAGTGAACGATGTCCATTGCAAAACAAAGAAAATAATTTTTTCATGATTTTAAAATTTTTATAAATTTGGCTTTAAATTCAATATTTTAGGATTAATAAGTTGGAAAATGTGGAAATAAACGTTAAATAATACTTTTGAAAAAACTGTTTTTAATCCCTATAAGAATTAGCCAAAGTTTTATTTCTGTCAATAGCCTTTAATTTTGACGAACAGTGTATACATTACATATTTAGAAATAAAAGATTAAAATATCACCGTAAGTAACATATGACCATTTCAACACATTTTTTTAACTTCGAAGACAAAAAAATTAAATAATAATACTATGCACTACTATAGTGAAAACAGCAAGCTTTCACAAGAGCAATTAGATAAATAATCTCAAACGTTTTCTTCGGAACCTATACGAGGACATACGCACAGCTTCTAAACATTCTGACAAATGTCACTCGGGGTCACTCTTTCGAAATTTTTTCGTAGTAATTATATTCAAAATTCATTATTGCATTTATAATTGGTATGTTCCAAGCAAAAGGTCTTTAAACAAAGCCAAGAAAAATCTGGAAGTTATGCATTTTATGAAGCTTTGACGATGTGAGACATTTTTCGGATTTTCATTTGATGAATATTAAATATATATGCTTTTGCAGCTTGACATGTGAACGTTGAATGAAATAACACACTGCGATTCCTTTGACAGCATCGCTTCAAAAGAAATAATGAGAAACAGAAAAATCAAAATGTAATTTACTGCTGTTTGGGTTCACACAGGGCACAAACGTTAGCAATTTTATATCACGGAAATCATATCGTAGTTTAGCACTTTGAATCTGCCAAAATTCACAGCAATAAAACTCAGAAAACGAAAAAGCAACACTGGTCAAATCCCACGAGTGATTTTCAGACAGCACCATCCGAGTAAACAGTCCAAAAATTTATTGAAAATGTCAATATTTGTGAAAAATAATAGACTCTCCAACTAGCTGTGCGATCATTTTTCTAAAGGTGACAAAAATATACTCAAATTCAGGTAATCGATTTAAAGAAAAAAAATATCGAAAATAATCCATGCTGTCAGACCAGGAGAAAGTCTTTGAACAAATCTTGATGTTATGTATTTGATGAAGCTTTGAAGGGCTCGGCGCTTTTCTAAACATATGTCACCAAACTCTGCACTTAACAAACTGCCCACATTTGTGTAATGTTCTGCGGAATATACTTTTATTTACTCCTCCAAAAATGGACAATCAAACAGTGAAATAGCACTCCAATTGTAAACTCTTGTTCAACGTTCATCACTTACTAGATCTCTGGAACTTGGTAGAATCGAAGTATTTCCTCCCTGTAATCTTAATTTACGCACAAGCCGACTTGCTGAAAACTTCATTCTTACTACTGAAAACAATTTCTTTTCACAAGTTCAAAACTCTGTATAAGCACACGTTGCTTATTGTGGAGCATCCTTATAAGCATCCCTAGACTATTTATCGCAATAGTGCCTACTAGCCATTTCACTGTATATACTATATAAAGCGTTTGTAGTTAGTTTAATTTAATGGAATGTTCATTTTCTCTGTATCAAGTACTTTCTATTAAATTACTGCTCTATTATAGCATCCAACAAAAATTTTACACCAAGAACTCATCTACTTTTGTAAAACATTTTTATCTCATGTTGCTCCTGCAATCTCAGTGATATTCTACTCTATTACCTTTATTACTATTACAAGTTGTTACACCAAAAGAATAATCATGGTCTACGGTGTACGATCTGTTTCGTTCGATCTTTCATGTACGATCTTTCATGTCTGGCACCTTTATGAAATTCTTTTCATTTATTAGTATAAATGTCGGGAAAACAACAAAAAGGGTGGGTTATACTTAAGATTGAATGACTTTTTTCTTTCATACATACAAATACAGCTTTCACTCTTAAATATCAATGAGCTTCTGCTCATACCTTGCACCTGACGCGATGAAAAAATATTCCCTTCATATTAAAAGTACAAAATCGGAAATGGTTTTTTGCGAAGTGGATTATGTGCCAATATATTGTATACAAATCGCTTAGTAACAGGATCGGTTCTAAAGTAATAAAAACAGAAAGAATAACTTACTTCGAGAATTCGATCTCCTCTTTTAAGCATTCCATTCCATCCTGCTGGGCTATCAGGTAAAACATTTTTAATGAAAGATACCTCCATGAAGTGCATCTACTTTTGCACCGCATATAATGCTAATACCCAGACCTTTAACAGGGTCTCTCCACAACTCGACTGTGCATTCTGGACCCCATTGCCTAGCCATGCTAGTCGTATTCATGTCTCCCACGAGATTCTCGATTGTCGTTGTTTTAGGTTTGGCTGAAAAAAGAAAAAAGCAACCTTAACTTTCTCCTTTCACGAGATGCACACCTTTACACAGTAATAAAATATTTTTATTTAGCTGGACTATAGCAATTTAACAGCACTCAGCGCTTTACACATAATCACTGGAAACTTCAAGATTACACATATTGTAAGGATCTTAAGTTTTACTAACGTTTATTTTTATTTTAAATCTTTACTATCACTTCTTATTTTCTACTTCCGGCCAGAATTAAAAGCGTTAACTTATTTATGCAAAATTTGTCTGGCGAACGCCAAGTACTTAAGTTGTGGCTTTTTTGCCAAGCGAGAGAGAGGAAGGAGTTAGTCGAAGCAGGCCGCTTGCCTTAGAAGTTTTACTCGGTTGCTGGTTGCCTTCCAGGCCAGAGGTTTAATCCTCGTGATAATTTTTAAACGTATTGTAGTGTTAACAGTTCTCTGTACTACATACGACTTCCTGTTAATTACGGCCAATCTTCCACGTTTATTATTCCAAAGTTTAGTTATTATTTTATATTTCTTACGTTCAGACCACAAGTAGTTGGTCTCTGTATTCCGAAGTACGGAAGTTATTGTAAAGAGTGAAAAATAAAGGGTTTTCGTATACCCTTCCTGTGTATCCTTGTCTACTTCCCACTGAACATAGCTTTAATAAGCTCCCTGTTCCGAGTCAGGTCTGTGCATGTTCCCAAAGAAAGTAAGACGGAACATTGAACCTTGATAGTGGCGCCCAACGAAGAAGAATAACCATGGCCGAGTTTCAAGAAGAACCTGTGCTGCCTGCAGAAGCGGCTCAGAATCCAGAAATGCCAGCTGCCGCCCTGGAAGGATTTGGTTACATCGTCCAGACCATGCGCGCTTCGATGAAACCAGAAGCAACATTTAATGGAAACTCACCGGTAACCAGTTTTTTGGAAAAATTGGATGACCATTCTGCTCTACCCCGTGCACGAGTTTCAAAAAGTTACCTTAGCTACCAGCGCTTTGAGGGGCCAAGCGCTTAACTGGTTCAAATGTATAGGCAGTTCAAATGTATAGTATATAAGTCTCTTGGGTCAAGCAGGAAGTCCCACCTATACTTACGAAAATTTCAAGACTGCCCTACTAAAAGCCTTCCCTGTCGTAAGGGATCGTGCGAAATTAGAAACGGAACTTTTCAGTATATATCAGCAAAGAATCGAAAATCTCTCAAGCTTTATTTTAAGAAAAATTCACGTCTTCAAACTCTTGTATAGGAAACCTGTCCGGATCCTGAGATAATTCAAGTGATTTTGCCGAGGTTACTGCCCCAAGTGCAAGACTTTATTGAATTAAGAATCCGACTACACTGGAAAAGTTATTTGAGCTAGCAATCCAGTTTGAAAGTAGAAGAACGGCGGACATTGAAAGAAGACGCCAATATCAACAACGAAACCAATTTGGTGCGCCAAGACTACAGCAAACTCAAGCACACGGCTACGGAAGCAAAGCGAATCAGTGGGCAAGGAAACCCGAGCATTCAAAAAAAGCCGGCGAACGTCGACAGTTCAATAGCAATCCAGGAAAAAAGTCTCAAGGCCAGTGGAAAAAGAAGGAAAGCATGGAAATGAAAAATAATTTAAACTAAAACGGATTTCTGCTGACGGGAGGGTGCGGAAATCCGAAGGCCAAGAAAACCCCTCTTCCTTCAAGTTAAATACAGTAATGGTGAAAAATTTGACTCTTCCGAAGATTGAAGTGTTGGTGAATAATATCCCAGCCACCGCACTCCTGGATACAGGCGCGCAGTGTTCCTGTGTGGCAGAAGATTTTTTTAGGAAGTATTTTCGTAAATACCGCATATATAATTCGGATAATACGACAGTGTTAGCGGCGCAAGGAGAAAATGTAAGTGCATAGGTAAATTACCGCTGTACGTCCGTATCAAGGACGAACAAGTAAAGGTTGATGTTTTTTATAGTAAAGAATCTGCAAGCACATATATCTTAGGAATAGATTTTCTTTCAGAGGCACAAGCAACGCTGGATTTTAATGAAGCGTCCCTTAAGCTGACATGAAACCAGTTGCTGGAAGAAAAAAAGGCTGAACCCCGCCGACAGTTAAATCTTGACCACCTGCCTACATGAAGAGCAACGAAAGAATCCGACAAGTGGTAAGTGAATTTGCTTCGTTATTTAGTGATATTCCAGGATTTACTCAAGTTACTAACCATAGTATTGACACCGGGAGATTCAATGCCAGTTCGCCACAAGCCATACCGGTTATGATAAGAATAAAGGAAAAAATTATAGAATGGCATATTCACCGATATGTTACGTAAAAAGATCATAACGCCCATCTCAAGTAGTTATGCTAGCCCGGTTGTTTATGTAAGAAAAATAATGATTATCCAGTTGACGCATCCCAAAAGGTGGCGATTTCGCAATTGACTACCGTAAATTAAACTCCATGGCTAACTAATATCCGGTATATCCGTTACCTATTATTGAAGAAATTTTAAGGAACATAAACTTCTACCAAATATATGACGACTAAGTTAGACTTAACGACTGGTTATTTTCAAATAAGGGTTAAAGGCCTGAAGGACGTGCCTAAGACTGCTTTTATAACCAAGTCTGGCACTTATGCATTTCTGCGTATGCCGTTTGGCCTTTCAGGGGCGCCGGCAACATTTCAGCGATGTATGGACATTGTGTTTAAGACCTGTTCTTGGAAAGTCCACATTTATCTATTTAGACGATATCATTATTACAAGTGATTATCTCGACCAACATGTACAGGATTTAAGACAGGTGTTTTCTTTATTAAATGAGGCTGGTCTAAAAGTTAATGTCGAAAAGTGCAAATTTGCAGCCCCTGAATTAAAATATTTAGGTTACAAAATATCTCAGAAAGGAATCGAGACAGACGAATCAAAAATAATCGCTGTACAAAAGTATCCGACTCCGAACACGACAAAGAAGCTCTTCTTTTCTAGGACTTTGTTCATATTATAGGTCCTTTATAAAAGATTTTGCAGCTATTGCTGAACCATTGTTAAAATTAAAAAACGAAAAAGGCAAGATTTCTCGTGGACGGGCCGAAGCCAATAGTGCTTTCGAAAAATTAAAAGCAAGCATTAACGCAAGCCCCTGTGTTGAAATTTCCTGAAAAGGATGAGAATTTAGAAATTTCAGCGGATGCTTCGGATTATGCGGTAGGAGCGGTACTTTCGCAAAATCAGCAGCCCGTGGCATTTTTTAGTAGCCGAACTTTAAATCAAACACAAAGAAATTTTAAATAAACTATTCCGCGACCGAGAGAGAGGCACTTGCAGTTCTGTTAGCAGTGCAAAAGTTCCGAGTCTATTTTGGAAAGGCGCCAATAACAGTGTACTCTGATCATGCGGCAGTAACTAGGTAACTAGATTGTACTCAGGGAAAAAACTTATCCCCAAGGTTAATAAGATGGGCACTCAAGCTACAAGAATATAATCTGGTAATCAAGCATAACCCCGGAAAGGAAAATATCGTAGCAGATGCCCTATCCAGAATAAAAATAGATGAAGAAGGTAATACTGTAAAGGTGGCAATGCTCACAGCATGTACAATAAATTCCCGAGAAACTGTAATAACCGAACTGGGTAAGGATCCTGAGTTTGGAAGCATTTATGAGTATTTAAAGGATCCTGAAAATTTTAGCCACCAAGATATTGTGGCGATAAGAAATAGGGCGGCCCATTACGAACTAATAGATGGTCTATTATTTTATACAAAAACTACGAATTCCAACAACGAATTTCGACCTGTTATCCCAGCTAGTCTTAAATTTATTAGATTAAATATCCTGCAGGAGTTGACCATGACAGCCCTTTTAGCTTCTCATGGCTGGTATTCGAAAAACTATCCAACGCGTACGCGAAGGCAGTTCTATTTTCCTGAACTGCAAAAGTTAACAAGGGCGTATGTCCAGTCCTGCCCAACATGTCAAGCAGTTAATTATATTAATTTCCGCCCGGCCGGGTTTCTAAATAGTATTAAATCCGAATTTCCAAATGAAATAATTGGCATCGATTTATTGGGCCCTTTCCCAAAAAGTCAGTTAAATAAAAGTCGGTATCTCCTTGTTATGGTTGATCATTTTAGTAATGGACCGAAATTGTTCCCTTAAAACGAGCCTCCGCGAAATTAGTTACTGATTCTATTTTAAAATAAATATATTTTAAAATACGGGGCGCCCCTAAAAGTTATATCGGATAATGGTCCTCAATTTGTAAGTAATATATTTGAAGACATGTGCCAAAAACTGGCCGTCAAAATGGTCCCGTATCGGCCGCAATCAAATATAGCGGAACGGGTCAATAGAAATATAGTGAAAATTATCCGTAGTTATGTTAAAAATTTTCATAAAAGCTGGGATAACTATGTCAATGAATTTGCTTTCGCCCTTAGGACCGCAAAACATGATACAACGGGCAAAACTCCTGCTGAGTTATTTTTAGGCAGAAAGATTATATAACGCCGTTAGATAAATTATTTTATGTGCAACAAAGAGCCCCAGAATTTAAAATGGGTGATATAGAAAAACTAATTAAAGAAGCAAAAAGAATACTGAAGTAGCACAGAGAAAACAAAACTTTATTATGACTTGAAACGACGGGGAGTAACTTATAAAGTAGGGGATGAAGTGTTAAAAATTAAGCATTCACTTTCTTCAGCACCAGAAGATAAAACTGCCAAATTTTTCCACGATTTGAAGAACCATATGTCATAGAAAAAATAACTCACGCTGTAGTGGTGTTAAAAGCCAGGAATGGTGAAACCTGCTCCGCAAACATTGATCAAATAAAACCCTACTATGATCGTAATAAAATGCAAATCTTTTCAAAGATCTTTTGCAGGATCCGGCACGGCAGGCACAAGTTCCAGAGGTGGAAAAACGACAAGTACAAGGGCAAGCCATTGAGAGACAGAGCAAGTGAAAAGAAAAGTTTCCCCGCGGAAAATTGAAGGTAACAAGAAAAAGAAGCCGTTCCACCG